AAAAGTCCCTGATTTCTCCAATTCAGGGTGATGCTGAGGCCTTGCCAAAGCAAGAAGTGAAGCCTAAAGAATAATTTTGAACTGAGCACTGAAGTTCCACTCCAACACACACACACACTCACACACACACACACACACACACACACGCCTTCCACAATGGATGGGAGATTTATTGGTCCAATCGTTTAAATAAATCTCTGTTTAATTATTAACCAACCACTAAGCTAACTGAGCAGAGTTACAGTTAGTTCAGTGGTCACACATGACAAGGAATTGATCAAGGAAAGTAACTAAACAAACAGCGGCAACAACAGCAAACTATGGTGTGGCTATTTGGGGATGGGTTTGCTGAGCTGCCACATTATATTATTTAAAACATCCAGTTATTAACAAAAACAGGAAAGCAGTCACAGGAAAGAAGCTTAAAAGTAGCTAGAGAACAACAACTCAAAATGTTTTCCTGAGGGATATGGGATCCTCGATAAAATTAACTGACTTTATCAGAAAATAGAAATCCCAGAACACAGTGGGATGACTTAAGCAAAGTGTTAATAAGAAAAGACTACCAACTAAAAATTCTATATCCATTAAAACTATCCTTCAAAAATGAGGAAGAAATAAAGGCATTCTCAGAATTTGTCACCAGCAGATGTGGCCTACAAGAAATACTAAAGGGAATCCTTTAGAATGGTAATAAAAGATACTACCCAGTAACAGAACCACATGAAGATATAATGAGCACTGGAAAGTAACTACATAGGTAAATATAAAAGACAATATAAATGTACTTTTTGGTTATAATTTTTTAATTCTCCTATCTGACTTAAAAATAACTGCATAATGAAGCAATTATAAAACTGTGACAATGGGCCTATAGTATATAAAGATGTAATTTGATTGATGATAATAACAAAAAGAAGAAGACGGGTAGCAAACCTTTAGTTAGACTGACCGCATCCCCAAAAGAGAATACAACTATGTTGGAGAAAAACTGTTGTATACTATTGTAATTAGTTGGTATTTATCCTAATCATACAGTCTTTAAATTAAGATGTTAATTGTAATCCTATGGCAGTCAATTAGAAAAAAAACTGTATGAAAGCAAAGAAACAAAAGAATTAAAATGGTAGTCTATAAAATAATAATTTAACACAAAAGAAAAGAGTTATGTTGGAATAGAGAAACAAAAAAGACATAGCATGTAGAAAACAAATACAAAATAGCAGATGTAACTTCTACCTTATCAGTAAGTACACTAATGACAAATGTATTTAACATCCATTCAGAAGGCAGAGATTAAAGAATGGATTAAAGAAAGTAGTCTGAACATGTACTGCCTACAAGAGACACTTTAGATTCAATGGAACAAATAGTTAAAAGCTAAAGCATGCAAAAAGATATACTAAGCAAAAAGCTACCATAAGACAGCAGAAGTTGCTGTACTGATACCATGCAAAATAGACTTTAAAACAAAACAAAACAAAAATGTTCCTAGAGATAAAAAGGAACATTTTACAATGATAAAAGAGTCAATGCATCAGGAGATATAATAATTATAAACATATATGCACCTAACAACAGAGCTCTAAAATACATTTTAAAAAGCCAGACTGGCAGAACTGAAGGTAGAAATAGAAAATTCAACAATAAAAGTTAGTGACTTCAGTAGCCCTTTTCAATAATGTCTTAAACAACTATGAGAGAAAAATGAGACTGAAATAAAAGACTTGAAAAACACTACAAACTAATTCTAACAGACTTCTATAGTACACTCTATCCAACAAAAGCAGAATATAAAATCTTCTCAAGCACTCATGGAACATTTTCCAGGATAGACCATATGCTAGGTTCCAGAAGAGACCACAAAACAGGATTAAGTTTAAAAGGGTTGAAACCACGCAAAGCCAGTTTTGTAACCAAAATAAAATCAAAAATTAAAAACAGAAGGAAATTGCAAATATGTGGAAACTAAGCAACAAAACAATGTATTAAAGAAAAAAAATCACAGTGGAAATTAGAAATTACTTTAAAATAAATGAAAATGAGAACACAACATGCCCAAACTTATTAGATGCCACTAGAGCAGTGCTTAGAGGAAAATTTATAGTGGTAAATGCCTGTATTAATTTTTTAAAAAAAGATTTCAAATGAATAATCTAAATTTTCACCCTAAAAATTTAGGAAAAAAACACAGTAAACCGAAAACAAGGATAAGGATGGAAATAATAAAAATCAGATGAGAACAAATGAAGTAGAGGATGAAACTACAATAGGGAAAAATCAATGAATCCGAAAGTTAGTTCTTTGAATAGGTAACAAAATTGTACACCTTTAGTTAGTCTGACTCCATCCCCAAAGAAGAAATACTCAAATTACTAAAATTAGAAAAGAAAGGAGGACATCACTACCAACTTTATGAAAATGAAAAAAAAATTATATGGGTATACTATGAGTAATTGTATGCCAACAAATTAAATAACCTAGAAGTAATCACTAAAGTATTCAGGGGTGGTGGGGCATTGGGCCAGAATTTTATTCTTAAATGATTCAGGGAAAAAAAAACTATTTTTATTAAACTCACAACTTCTGTATACATGATATTGTTTTTAAGAAAAGATAAAAGAAAAACAATAATACTATATGGGGCTACTATTCATAGTAAGGCTTACTATTGTAAGAAAGAGGTAATCTCAAAGTTCAAACAATAATGATTTACTTCTAAGCAGAGGCAAAATTCATTGAAATACAGGTCTCAATAGGTGAACATGCACACACACACGAATGTCTAAATTTGTGATTGAAGATGTAGAGCAGTGTCAGAATCATCTGAAAGGCTAAGGTGCGGCCATTGGAGTGGAGGCTGAAATGAAGGGGAGGTCATTGGAAGTGAGGAAGTCAAGGAACTAAAATGCATAGACACTGGAAGTCATACATGAGGACATTGAGATTGTGCATGATAGTGGCAGGACTTAGGCTAGAGAGAAAGACTGTAACTTACGTTCCAAGTCTTCCTTGTAAGGAAATGACTGAACAGACAACTATGAGATAAGAGTGGAGGCAGAGTTTTAAATTAGAAAGGGATGAACCTCAAAGAGGATAGAGAAATAATGAAGTGATAATAGAGGAGTAGTACAGAGGAAGAACACTGATCCTAAACTTGGATAGATCTTAAGACACCATGCTTGGCTGGTCTGATTCTGCCATGGACTCTGTTTTATGGAAGATTTCATAGTCAAAAATCAAAGGAAATTATGTGAAGCTTAGTCTGCAATTGCTATGTGTCAGAAAATCAAATATGAAAATAATTTTCTGTAATTCTTTCTTGATCTACTTAAAAGAGGAATAGAAAAAAAATAATTGAGTAATTGAACGGACACCTATTTACTCTTCACATTTATTTGCGAAATGATTTTATTTAAAATTTCTTCGAATGTCGTTAATTCTAATTCATTTGTGATTTTATTTAAATGTTACTATTTAGACATACCTTTAGCATATAAAGCAGATTACCTGTTACTTTATTCTTTTAATGTTACAATACTATATATGTTATATATGTATTTTATGCATTTGCAATCAAGAACATCAAAATAATTCTATGAAAATATAGTGTAAACTTCCTGTTTTTATTCTTTATGGTTATTAAGTTTGTTCATCTCTCTCCATGCACTAACCCCTACATATTTAGTTTTAAAAGTCTTAGCATACTACTAGAAGAGTGATATTTTCTAGGCATCGCAATTCCACTAAATACTAATTATTATGTTTTGTTTATCAGAGTAATGCTTCATTTAAATTACTTTTTTCTTCTCTCTTTTTAAATTACTTTCTAATACCCCATCATAACAAGATGATAGATACTTGTATTTACCACTTATTTCTTACACTATTAATTCTTATGAAAAGCTGTTTGCCATGCTTTAGCCATGTAGATGCTTGTTAAATTGTAATCATTCCAATACAGGCATGTATGGTCACTGCACACACTTTTATTAAGGGGGAAAGTAAATGGTTTGGAATTCAAGTTTTTCCAAGAATTAAACAGTGCACAAGAACCTAGCAACTTTAGAGAAAATCCAGCTTACTTTTGCTTTTGCACCCAGAAGATTTGAAATCAATACTTAGTCTGCACGTTTTAATTGAAAATTAACATTGCCATAATTGGAGGTGAGGATCAGCATCCTAATATTTAGGAGAGGGCTATTTGGTTGGGAAGGTCATTACACTGGAGAGCACAAATATTGGACGAGGAAAACAAATCAGTTGTTTCCTTGAGAAAGGACACAGAGTAAACACTTGAATTTGTAGTCAACTATAATTTGCTTCTAGAGCCAGCAACTCTGGCAACACTACAGTCTGAATTAATAGCAGAGTACACGCATAGCAGTGACTTTGAAAGCAAGATATAAAAGAACCAAGGAAAAAGTTACTAGTTCTTAAAGTTCTGCTCCTCATTACAAGAACTTAAAGATTTCCCCCTCAATTTATTAACAGGTTGTACTTCTGTTGCTATTCCCAACATGCTTCTCAGCTGCTCTTCCTAAATAAGTACTCCTCCAGGAAACCAATGATATTCGAGTGTGGGTTATCAACAATCCTTTATTGTTTGCCTGGGAATTTTAATTGTTTCCCAGCCTGAATAATGCTTTTCTTTCTATTTTGGTAAAAAGTAAATTTTCTTTAAAAATCGTATTCTGTTTTTTATTTGCTTCCAATGTTTTCAGAAGTTCAACCACTTCTCCAGATCCCCCAGGAGAAACACAAGAAACTACCTCTCCCCAGTAGAATACCGAGGCCGCAGTACCACCCTAAGACACTTCCACCTTTCATTTTAGGGAAGGAGTGTCTACTTCAGATGTAGCAACTCCATTGAGCTAGAGAGAAGTTCCTCTTCTCCTTTCTCCTTTTCACTGAAAGTGAAAAACTACTCGCAAAAATCGCTCACTGTCCCCTTCCCCGTTTCCCCATGTTTTCGCGGAGCCAAGAGAGGACTCCGTCAGTCAGCGAGGTGCCCTCTGCTCTGTCCCGCAGACTGCGACCTTCACCCCATTGTCGGTGCAATGTGTAGAACTGGAGCGCAGAGCAGCAGCCTCGGCATCACTCTCCACACCCGGTGGGGCCAAAGGCCCCTTTCTTGGCCGGGAGGAAGGGCTTTTGTGAAAGCAGAGTTTGAAAAGCCCCAGCACAGTCATGGTCAAGATCACCAACACTACTACTGCTATGCTCACGAGTATTAAGACCACGGTGGAGGAGTCGAAAGCATGGGGAATGGCAGCGGAAGACGTGGAATTAAAATTGGGAATCGCGCTTTCCGAAGAAGTGATGGCGGCCTTTGAGTTGGCTTGAGGGGACGTTTGAAGGGAAGACATCGTGCTCTGTGCTTTCCACCACGGAATCTCAGGAATAGATGTTGCCGAACTGCCCTGTCTAGGGACATGGGGTGTCTCTCCTGGCTTTTCATGGACACTGGGTGACCCCGTTCTCTTCTGCACGGGGCTGGCTGAAGTGGCCGGCGGGTGCTTGATGGGCACCTTGGTCCCCCCAGGGTCCGGTTGTCCTTCTCCATTGGTTACACAAGAGCGTCCGTCTTTCCCCAGCACGAAGCCCGCCGCACACTCGCAAGCAAAGCCTTCCAAGTCGTCTAGGCAATTAGGGAGCTCCGCGCATTTGCCCTCACGGAGGTACCTACCCGGGCAGGGACAGAGCACCGCCCCGGAAGGTATCCCGTCCCAGCGCGCGCCGACCTCGTCCACAATACAGGTGGCCGTGATGAATTGCTGCCCCGGACAGCGCGCACTCACCTTGGTCCCAGGGGGACTGAAGTCCAGCGCTGTGCTGTGCATCTGGAAGGGCGCGCGGTAACTCAAGTTAGAGGCGGCCCCGGGGCGCGGCGCGGGGCACAAGCTCTCAAACTGGTATTTGCACAGGTAGCCGTTGGCGCGCAAGTGGCAGCGCATCTCTTTCCAGCCTGCGGGCTCGACTCCCCCGGTGGCTTGGAGTCCCGCGCAACTTCGCACAGTGCAGGAGCGTTGGGGCTCCTGCACCCACGGCAGCGTGTCGCTTTCCGACCCGCCGACGTCGGGGGACAACCAGGAGAAACCCCGCAACGGCTCGTTGTCCAGGGTGCAGTGGGCTCGCCCGCGCTCCAGCGCCACCCAGAACAATAGGTCTTTGGAGCCCCCTCCGGGCCCCGGGCCTGCCCGCAGGAGCGCGAGCACAGCGCGGAGCTCCGCGCCCCCGCGCACGGTGCTGAGCGCCCCGCCGCGCAGGTTGCAGGCCTCTTCGGCCCAGCCGCTTGTGATGGTCGCATGGTGCAGACTATAGCAGGCCCCCGAGGCGGAGCAGCCCGCGCGGTCGGCGGTGGGGTGCTCGCCACGACCCGGCCGGGGCCAGAACGCCTGCCAGAGAAGGCACAGGGCGAGTGCTGGCCTCATCTTGGAGGCCTCGCGCCCACAGCTGCTCCAAACTTGGATCTATCCCGCCCGAGGGCACGGAGTTGTCCCCAGAGCGAGGTCACCGCCCCCTACAGCTGGTTCTACCCTACTTCCCCCGCCCCACTCCCGCCCCTAACCGCCAAGAATCCCGTCTTGGCGGCAAAAAGCTTCCCCTAGGCCGCGACAGGAAATGTGTTCGGAGCTCTGCCAGGTCCCGAGAAGCCCTGATTTTTTTCTGGGGTCAAGAACACAGCTGGCTTCGGGGGACAGGGAACGCAGTCGGCCAGAAGGTCAAACACCCTGCTAAGAGCAGGAGAAACAGTCGCTATTGGGATGAAGTGTATCGTTTTCCCCGTTTAGGGAGTTTCAGGACCTCAGCTCCCAAAACACTTTGGTGAACATTGACAGGAAGGACTGGAAAAGAGGAACTTGCTCACAGCCCACGCCCGCCCATTGTGCTTCATCCGGAGCGGTGGTGTTGGCCTCACAACAATTTGTAGACGGCTTCGGTCTTTATCAGGCCTTTGACTGTGGAGGGCAAAAAAAAATCTTGGGAAAAAATAAGCATCACCCTGAGCCACCAGAGGCAGCACTATTTCACCGCCGGTCTCTTCCTCGTCCCTCCTTCTCATTCTATTAAAGGAGATTCAGGCGTGCTAACTGCTAGGCAAAGAATTTAGTTTCTTTTGAGTATCTTAAATGGGAAGTCTTGCTTCTTGGGTCACCACTTGCCTTAAACATTTCCATTGTTTCTCATTGAAATAGCCTATGTTGGTTCATTCAGGAAAGGAAATGTATTGCTAGGCCCAAATGAAAAATAATGGCGGTAAATCTCAACTGCTGTTAGGGTGTTAGGTTCCTTATCACTATATTTGTTCATAACATCTTCAAACTTTAGATTATATATAAATAAGTTTGTGGCCTTATTAATGTTTGAGAACAACTGCTCCACGTGTGATTCTATCCTTGAATTATTTTAATATCTTTATCTCCTAAGATTAAGTGCCAACATTTGTAGGAGTAACTTGTAAAAGTCTCTTTTAAGGGACACTTTAAGGATATAAAGTTGAATATCCTTAAGAAATTAAAATATTTATTATGTTATAAGGCATATTGTATACTGCAAAAAATAAAAAAATAAAAATACCCTGCAACTTAACAGATGAACAAGTCAATTTCTTTAGAGTTCCAAGGGTGTTTTGTTTTAATATAAAGACTTCAGTTCAGTGGGGAATGGGGAGGAATCTTAAGATACGTGAAGAAAAGAAAGATTAAACACTGCACTGTCTATGAAAGGATTTTCTGATTAGTAACTTAAGCAATTCTACATCAATTTGAGAAACATATTATCTGTCTCTCTTGGTTCGCAGTAACCAATGTCACAATCAGAAATACATAGAGTTTCAACTAAGCCCTCTTAAAGATGCACGATGCTTTTAAATATCCATATTCAGAAATGAAAGTTGCCATTCCATAAATATTACATACCACACTTTTAAACTCACCTTGCTGTACTGGATGCGACTGTTCAGGTTAATGAGGAAGAAGTGGTGGGAAGGAAGAATCCAGGATTACAGCTGTATGTTCCCACCTCATCATCCGCGTGCCCCTACCTCATTTTTACTCTCTCTCTTCTTTTCTTCTTGGAAATTCCACATATCTTAACAAACAATAATAAACACCATGAATAACCATCACACTTACCTTGCTTTTGCTGACTGTAGAGTTTTACGGCAGGATTTCTATTCTACCCTTGCTGTTTCCCAATTTAAAGGACATTCATTAGTCCTTCATTTCAGATGTCCAAGAATAACCTTGAACATGACTTTGCATTTAAATTAAGTAACTTAATGTCTTAGGAGAAAGGGACATGAAAATCCAGAAATCTAATTGAATGGATTTTAAAAACAATCACTTGGCCAGTTCTATATGCCTTTGCAATCTGAGGACTGTCTGTTTGTAAATGTGTCCATATAGCACTGTATATTTTAAAAATATAAAAATTTCTGCAAACCTAAATAGTCCATGGAAATCTCTTAGATATTTTAAAAAATATCTAGGAATGAGGTGAGGTTTCTAGAGTAAGAAAAAAATCATGACCGGTGAGCATATAGTAAATACACGATCTCACTCCCTGGCATTCTGCCTAGGGAATAGTAGAGGAAAACATAGAGGCCATAATGACTACATGTCACAGTTCTGACCATGCCTACAATGATGTGAGAGAAGAGTTAGGAAAAAAATTAACTCAAAGTAAGATGTATATCATTTTTGATTAATTACTTTGTATTGATACCACTAAAAAGGGATCAAGGGAATAATGAACATAAGATTATGGGTGATGGATTCTTTGGGTGAGAGGGAGGAGGGGGATGAATTAGTGGGGGAGCCGAGGTCTTGATGGGGGATGTTCGGCTCCTAGCTTTTGTTTTAGATAGTGACTTTATGGGTGATTAGTCCACTATGAAACATAAGTATCAGAAACAAAGATGGTGAAAGATGAAATTTTACTAATCATATCCCACATAATCTCATAAATTTACAAAGTTGTTAATCCTCCCTGACTAATTTCTACCCATCATTGAAAGAAAACAACATCTGGATCTTCATGTATTTCTGTGTTCACTTAAGATATATAAAAAGATTTTAGAGATGTAAGAGAATATGGTACTCAGAAGCTAATCTATGGAGACTAAAAATTATGTCGATCCTTAGCCTTTTAGAACTGTATTGAACCTTAACAAATTGATCAATGATCATAGACTAGTGGTTACTAGTAGGGTGGGGAAGGAAGGGGAAGGTAGATGGGATAAAGGGAGTCAAATATAGGGTTTAGGGGAGGGCGAAGTGGGTAAAGGGGATCAAATATGTGGTAGCTGAAGGAAACTGGACTTTGGGTGGTAAACACACAATAGAATATATAAATGTCAAATGATAATGTAGACCTAAAAATTATATAATTATATTAACCAATGTTACCCCAATAAACTTAATTAAAAAAAAATCAATGATCAATATTTTTATATTTTTAACAGAAAATTTTAAATTCTATGCCTCAAGTATCCATGAAGTGCTTAATGAATGATAAAATCTGGTAATTTTATTTGCTGAAAACACAACTTCTAATTGTCATTATGTACATGTCCTGAGAATATGTGGTTGGACTCTTAACCCAGCAGATCATATAGGCTCATAACCTAACAAATTCATATGCATCTGAATAGATAAAACACTTCTTTTAGGTGGCGTTGTATTTGAGACATATGCATATATGTATATATTTCAGAATGTGTGTTACAAGGATAAGTACTCTTCTGGTTTAGTGGATACCATGACCAACAGAAATTTAAAAAACTTTAAAAAACATTAAACTTTCAGCTTCTTCATGCAAATTGTTCTCTAAACAGAGGCAATGCTGATTATGTTCCATCTACACTGGAGGTAATATAAAAAATTATTCCTTTGTGGCCATTATGGAATTAGTACACTTTTCTACTGCCAAGGTTATAATCAAAAAATAATGAAGGAATGACTCATGCACACAAAAGGCTTGTTATAATCCAAATGCCTAACAAATTCTGAAGTGCAAATGTTTATCCTACTACTCAGATTTTTTTTTCAAAATTGCCTACAGAGCAGATTTATGAGCTACATTTGAAAATCAGTCTCATTAAAGTAACACAGTTACACACACAGACACACACACACACTCACACATGCACATATACTCCTCATCTAGACTTTTTTTTTGTTTTGGTAGATGACAAGGAAAGTTAAACTCGTAAGGTTAGTTAACACCAAACAGCAAACAAAAAAACTACAGCTGTATAGAGATGAGGGAGTAGTGGGCAGTTTGCAGACCTTCTCCTTTGTTCAAGTTTGTCATCTATCACAGATCTTGGATTTCTTCATAGCCTTGTCCTGGGTCTTTTTCTCTTTCCACTGGATAGTCTCTTCCTCAGGATCTCATCTCATATTGTCCTATGGTTTTGGATATAATCTCTATGGCAGTGATGCCCGAACTTATATCCATACTTTATTCTTCTTGTCTGAGCTCTAAACTCATATATCCACCAATTTACTATTTAATTAATAGTTAATATTTTCACTTTGATATCTCATAGATATTTCAAATTCTCATTTCTTAAACAGAACTTTGGTTCTTCCCTCCTGAGTTTGCTTGTCATCTTGCCTTCATCATTTTAGTAAATGGCACATCTATCTCCCAAGATGCACCTTCATCTCCCTCACCTGTTATACTGGTCAGGTTTTTTTCAGTTGTAATTAACAGAAATTCAACTCAAGCTAGATAAATGCCAAAGGGAATTATACAATTTGTGTAACTGTGAAAAATCCTGGAGTAGTTTCAATAGTCAAATGGAGTACTGCCAAATCCACTATACGCGGGAGATTCTATCATACCAGGATATGTATGTCTCAGTCTCTCTCCCTTTCTCTTTTCTCTGCATGGCTCCATCCTCTCCTGCTTCTTTTAGCCTTTCTCAAAATGACCTTGAACAAGACCATGGCAGTTCTCATGTCATATCTTTATAATATTCTATTAAAGAAGGAGAGTCTTCTCCTTCAGCTCCATTAGGAAAATTTTAAGAAAAAATTCTTATTGATCCAGTTTTGATAATTTGTCAGTCATAGTCTCAATCACTCTAGCCAAAATGATAGGACCCAGTGATTAGTGGTGTTCCTGAGGGGACAGAGTCTGTACCGGCAGTAGATGTAAGGCACATTCATTTCTAAGTCCGCAGTATAACTTGAATAGAACCAGTTTTATGCCTTGTTTTCATCATCCTGCTCAGCTCCAGACATATGTCTTCTCATTGGTTTGCCTGCCTAATTCTGGACCTCATGGAATCCATTCTTCACAGAGTCATCAGGATGATCTTTAAGAACTTTAGTCTGTTTATGTCTTTCTTCTCTGTAAATCTCTTTAATGACTTTCCATTGCTCTTAAAATAAAGCTCAAAATCCTTGCTGAGACCAAC